AAATAAATAAATAAATAAATAAGTATGTTGCAAGCACCGCAGCAAGCACCTGTCCCCGTGTATCTGAGATTCGCATGTGAGTGGGCGCCTTGTGTTCTTGCTGGCTGACTCCGGACACCCTGAGCAGGGAAGACCTCTTTGAGGTGGACCCGGTCTCGGGCACGGTGACGGTGAGGAACGGCGAGCTGCTGGACCGGGAGGTGCAGGCCGTGTACTACCTGACGCTGCAGGCAACTGACGGCGGGAACCAGTCCGCCTCCACCACGCTGCAGGTGCACCTGCTGGACATCAACGACAACGCGCCGGTGGTCAGCGGCTCCTACAACGTCTTCGTCCAGGAGGAAGAAGGCAACGTGTCCGTCACCATCCAGGTGCGAGCCCCACCTGGACCTGGTGGGCAGGGCAGGGAGAGGGGACCAAGCCAGGCTCTGTGGTCCCGCTGGCCTTGGCCGTGTGGCTCTGGGAAAGTCACTCAGTGTCTCTGGGCTTCTGTTTCCTCTTCGGAAGATGAAAACGTTGTAGCCTCATTCACAGCTCACCGGGGAAGAAGGAGATGGCACGTAAAGGGGTCAGCACAGACCCTGGTTAATAGAAACAGGGTCTCACTTTGTCATCCAGACTGGAACTCCTGGGCTCAAGCGATCCTCCTGCCTCAGCTTCCAGATCAGCTGGGACTACAGGTGCACGCCACCACGCCTGGCTCATTTTTATTTTTTTGAGGCAGAGTCTCACTCTGTTGCCCAGGCTAGAGTGAGTGCCGTGGCATCAGCCTAGCTCACAGCAACCTCAAACTCCTGGGCTCAAGCAATCCTCCTGCCTCAGCCTCCCGAGTAGCTGGGACTACAGGCATGCGCCACCATGCCCGGCTAGTTTTTTCAATATATATATATATATTTTTAGTTGGTCAATTAATTTCTTTCTATTTATAGTAGAGATGGGGTCTCGCTCAGGCTGGTTTTGAACTCCTGACCTTGAGCAATCCGCCTGCCTCGGCCTCCCAGATTGCTAGGATTACAAGCGTGAGCCACCCAGCCCTGGCTCATTTTTAAATTGTTTGTAGAGACGGGGTCTCACTATGTTGTCCAGGCCGGTCTCAAACTCCTGGCCTTACGTGATTGTCTTGACTTGGCTGTTCTTTTTATTTACACCCTTGCCAGCCTCATTCCAAAAGTGACTGAGGTAGCTTACATAAAAAGTACGATAAAAAGATGAGGGAGGCCGGGTGCGGTGGCTCATGCCCGTAATCCTAGCACTCTGGGAGACCA